TATGGGGTATTGTCAAGAGGAAAATGAGAAATGAGAAACAAAATAATGCAGATGAGCTGAAGGCCACTGTCAAAGAAACCTGGGCTTCCATACCACCTCAGCAGTGCCACAGACTAATCACCTCAATGCCACGCCAAATTGAGGCAGTAATTAAAGCAAAAGGAGCCCCCACCAAGTAATGAGTACATATACAGTAAAAAAACATACTTTCCAGAAGGCCAACAATTCACTAAAAATGTTTTTTTATAGGTCTTATGAGGTGTTCTAATTTACTGAGATAGTGAATTGGTGGGTTTTTATTAAATGTGAGCAAAATCATCACAATTTAAAGACCCAACGGTTTAAACTACTTCATTCTGTGTGTATTGAATGTATATAATACACGAGTTTCACTATTTGAGTTGAATTACCGAAATAAATGGACTTTTCCACAATATTCTAATTTATTGAGCTGCACCTGTATGTATGTGTGTTAGAGTGTGAGCATAGCAGTACAAAAAACATAGACAAGTATACATTTCCACATGGTGTGATAAAACAAAAACGCAAACAGAATAACTAGAGATGGCGCAAGGGATGGTTGTAGCAGTCCGTGTGGGATAGGGGTTGCTCTGTGTGTGGATGTAAGGGACCAGGGTGATGAAAGGGGCTGAATTATTTAACATATAATGTAGCAGTCACTGGTTGGTAGGTAGTCTGTAGAAAATCACAAAAGCCAAGGGGTAATCTTCAAGTCGCGATAGAGCTGTCCTTCAATGTATAATTTGTCCACAATGATATTTGCCCATTTGTTGTTCCGCCTGTGTTGTTTCATGATGGGGTAGAGGATTTTAATGGAATGGGTTTTCAGCAGGTGATAAGTGACCTTGAACCTGACTTTCAAAACTGTAAGTTCCCAGTTGGTAATATTAAGATGAAAAGATGTCCAGACATCTAGTTTTAAATGTGTGTAAATTAGATTAAAAGGAGTTTACAATGTAATTGTGGTTTTGACAGCATTTCAATGCTGTACTTTAGTAGGAGGCACATTAGTCTACATGGCTATAAAACATTTCAACTTATTAAACCTGCAGTAACTTCTTTTTTTGGCCATTTGGAGACAGTGGTAACAAATTGTGAAAACAACAGTGAGATAGTTGTTTATTTACAGCAGTTACATAGCAAAATTGTTAATAATATACAGTCACATTGCTACTCTCCAGTTGCCTCTTTTTTTGGTCTGTCTATACAGCGAAACAATGAGCTGAAACTTGCCATGAGATGCCGCTCAGTCTTTGAAAAGGGAAGTATAATGTCTGGTGTTGCTCTGGAGGAAGCTTTCTGAAATAACCCTGATGTCATGAAGGTTATTTTGGCTTGGATTTCACAGAGAGGGGCACTTGACTTGAGTCGTAACCTGTGTCTCATTGGTGCCAGACTTGGCTTGTGAATAATGAATAATGAACATTAAAGTCTTAATGTTTCTGTAGGAGGAAAGTTTGGTGTTTATATCCTTGGTAATCCTTTAACATAACATATTGTAGTTATACAGTTGGCACTTTATTAGGTACACCAAGCTAAAATTAATATGGTTTAATACAATTATCATATAACAGATCCTTCATGAAGGTGATAATGTTCAAACTGTTTCAGATTCAAAGTATTTTGGAGAATGCGGTTTGTGCTACTGTTTAACTGTGTTGTGTTTATACTGAGAGGTGTTTATTTGGCCTAGCCTTTTAGGTATGAATTGGGTGGATGTGCTTTAATAGAAACACCTTATAACACAATTAAAAATGGTTGCAGTTGATGGCTTTGTACAAACAAAACATGAATAAAGTGACAACTGATTTTGCTGTCATATCACAGGGTTTATAAGGCTGAGACATATGTAAAAGATATGCTCTCCCTGTCTCCACCTTACCTTGGAAGTATATAATATCAGTATTTAGACTTAGGTTCTATACTGATCTGCAGGTTCACAGAATTCAACAATGGAAACTTTTGGTCTCTGTCAGCGCACACTATTTACCTGCTACAAACACTTAATAGCTAATACACTGGATACAATTTAAAGGTGAAAAGGCTTCTTGGAATAGACATTAAGCTGAAAACATCAGAGACCTGAGATTTGATTTGGACTCCAAAGACTAGAATTGAGTCAGGCTTGCATTGTGACTCATGAACATCTCTGGGACTCAGTCTCTGCTGCTTTAATTTTAATGATTCCTGCAAGTTCCCCAAATTTCAGATCCAAAATAAACCTCTATAATTCAAGATAATCTGTCACAAACACAACTCACTACTTACTAAAAGAATTTTTCTGTTTGTTTTATAATTCATCTGTCATTGTGTAGCCAGTTGCTACTAGTGGACTTTATATCACATAGGAAAGAAAGAAGATTCATATGCGATGGTGGGATTGGCTATTTGTTTTGACAAACTGTCAAGAACTGACTACATAAATGAAAAGTGGACAGGTCCTTTAGGGGAACAGGAGAAATATTAGTTCTGTGATTGTGGTCAGTTAGCCCCTTTAGTGGCCATGTCAGGAGTAATGTTGGAGAGTTTTCTTCCTCTCCTCCTTTATTGATTTTTTTTCCTTCATTGGTACAGCGAGGCAGAGATCATGGTGGTAATATCCCGAGCGAGATTCCACCTGACATACTGACACTATACAGTACACGAATTATTTGAAGTTGAGGAAGTAACTCAGATTGTAAAGTGAAAAATGACAAGTGAGTTGTGAACTACGGATTCGGAGGAGCAAAGGACAGTTAGGAAACTGGAAATTGTACTATACGACATCTCAGTGAGTTAGCTGTTAGCTTAAATGCTATTAGGGATTGAGTAAAGAAACTTTGTTGTAGGCCGGAGGAAAAAAAAACCAGTCGGGATGAACTATTAATTACTAACTTGATACTTGAGTTGTATGAGTTATGGTACCCTGTTTATTGAAATGTTTTCCACATTAAGTTATGGTTATTCGGTTGTATGGTACCAACTGCGGACATTAACTGCAAATGTTATGTGTATTATTGTGCTGTAAATGTTGTGATATATACTTGGTTAAAGTCAGTAATTTGGAAATGAGTTATACTACTGTTAAGTGCACATTTTAAACTTTGTGATGCACACGGTTGTGATTTAGAATTATCGGAGACTGATTTAATGGGTACTGTGGACAGCTGAATAATTGCCCTGCCCATTGTGTGCAGGCTGTTTTTTTTTTTTTGTGTTACTGTTCTGCCTGGATAGCTTCGATACTCTGGAGAAGATTATCGCCCTGTTCATCATCGGACATCATTCCACTACTCATCGGATTTCCTGCATTCATCACCTTCATTCCTCTGTGCATGCCATCTTCATCCTCGTCCTCATCTTCCAGCAACAGGACGGATCGGCTATTCATTGGGGTTGCGGTAGGAACTTGATGTTCCCCGGACTGAAGTGAGTTATCACAATAGGATGATTTACTATTACTTGAACTGTGTCAAATGGTCCTATGTGGTTTTTGTTGTTTTACAGTTGAATAGACCACTGAGCTTATTTGATATGTATTGTGGCTAATGGAGAAGAGTGAGCATTTAATTCAATACACAACCTCTTAAATTTCCAGTTCTTGTTTTACTTTTTTTGGGTCTGTGTTAGTTGGGGTGGGAAAATTGTGGTGCATAGTACGTCCACCTAATTCCTAGATAGTCAGCCTCCTCATCGAACCTAGTTAGGAACCGCCCCCCTGCTCCTCAGCCTGTTAGCTATGCAGGGAGGGTTACAATTGCATAGAAAGTTGTTATGAGTGGGCATTGAGGAGAGATCTGCTGAGCTGAGGTGGTTCTGAGACTTGGATATGGCAGGAGCCATGATAAATATTCTGCACATCTTGAGCAGTCATTTTACAGGCATTATTGCCACTCATTTCAAGAGGTGGGTAGTGCAAATGGTACAATCCACTCAGTAAACTGCTGTGGCTCCTCATTCTGGTGTGCAATGCAGACGTTTTTTAGTTTAAATGTATT